TGCGTTATCCAGTTGCAGTTTTAATAATTGGCAACAAATCCACAAGAAATTAATAATGAAGCATCTTCATAATAGTACAGTGCGTTTGAGCATGCCAGAACAACTGCAGGAATCATGGTGAAGCTTCAGGAAAAGCTACACACAAGGTATTTGATAAGATGTCACACAAAAGGCTAAAACACAAGGTAAGATCACTATGGTTTAGGATAACATACTAGTTTGGATAGAGGACTGACTAACTAACAGAAAGCAGCGAGTTGGGAAAAACCGCATATTTCAGTTGAAAAGCTGTAACGAGTGGTAAAGCCACTGGGTTCGGTCCTCAGGCCCCAACTATTTACAACTATATTAATGACTTGGATACAGAGAGAGAATGTAGTATAGCCAAATTTGGAGATGACTAAGGTTCTTGAGTAGATTTGTAGCTCGGGATGTGGATGCTATGGTTGGTTCGCTCACTGAGCTGGTTCGTTAGTTCGCAGACGTTTCATTACCCTGTTGGGTAGCATCATCAGTGCAGCCTCCGATGAAGTGCTTTGTGTTTTCCTGCCTGGTATTTAAACTCTGGGGTCTGTTGGAATTGGTTATCTCACTTCCGGTTTTTCTTTGCAGTGGTGTATATATAGGGTCTAATTCTACGTGTTTATTGACGGCCTTCTTGGTGGAGAACCAAGCCTCTAGAAATTCCCGTGCTTGTCTCTGTTTGGCCTGTCCTAGGATCTTGATGTTGTCCCAATTGAACTGGCAGTTCTCCTTATCCATGTGAGTGGAGACGAGTGAGTACTGGTCATGTCTTTTTGTTGCTAGTTAGTGTTCATGGATTCTTCTGGCCAGTTTCCTTCCTGTCTGTCCAATGTAATGTTTGTCACAGTTTTCGCATGGAATCTTGTATATCACTTTGGTTCTGTCCATAGTGGGCAAGGGGTCTTTGATTCGAGTTAGCGGTTGACGTAGGTTTGTGTGCCACTCTGATGCCCAGTGGTTGGAGGAGTCTCGTGGTCAGTTCGGATATGCTCTTGATGTATGGTAACGTGACGAGCGTGTCAGGGCGTACTGTATCTTCCTGTTGTCATTTGCGATAGGCATCGTTGGACCCAGCTGTTTGGGTACCCGCTGTCCTTAAATACTTGGTAGATGACATTAAAATAGGTGGGAAAGAAAGTTGCATGGACAAATAAGAAATTCATAAATGGATATAGATAGATTAGGTGTATGGGCCAAAATTTGGCTGATGGCATTTAACATGGATCAGTGTGAAGCTAGCCATTTTGGTTGGAAGAATAAGAAGGCAACTTATTATCTAAATGGAAAGAAACTTCAAAATGCTTCAGAGAAAGAGGGATCTGGTATTCTTGTGCATGAATCCCAGAAAGCTTGTATGCAGGTACAGCAGATAATAAGGACATGGAAAATGGAATTTTGGCATTTATTGCTAAATGAATCGAGTATAAAATTAGGGAAGTGTACAAGGTATTGGTGAGATCACATTCACAGTGCTTCATACAGTTTTGGTCCCTTACGTTAAGAAGGATATAATTGTATTGGAGGCAGATCAGAGATGAAAGGCTTGAATAAGGGGAGAAATTGAGCAGTTTAGGCCTTTGTGTGACGATCTAGAGTAAGAGGTCATAGTTTTAGGCTAAAATATAGCAGATTTAAAACAAGGGTCATGAATCTGTGGAATGTACCAACCCAGAGAGTGTGTTAGATGCTGGGACACTGAATTTTTAATTAGTAATATGTTAAAGGGTGATGGGGAGTGGCAAAGAAAGTGGAGTTGAGGCCGAGATTAGATCAGCCATGATCATATTAAATGGCGGAGTAGGCTCAACAGGCTGAATTACCCAATCCCACTCCTCAGTATAATATTCTGATATTGGGCAAATGACTGTTTGAGTACCAAACAACAGAACCAGCAGGCGATAAAAGGTAAAGGTAAACATAAAAGGTATAGGTTTATCAGACCATAGGGCTACTCGCTTATTGGAGAGAGAGAGAGAGAGAGAGAGAGAGACGACTGGTGGTGTTTAATCTGAGGGGGAGAGTCACCACACCTATGGGAGGCGATGGCCTAGTGGTATTATCTCTGGACTGTTAATCCAGGGACCCAAATAACATTCTAGGGACCTGGGTTCAAATCCTACCACGACAGATGGTGGAATTTGAATTCAGTAAAATATCTGGAATTAAGAATCTAATGATGACCATGAATCCATTGTCCATTGTTGGGAAAAACCCACCTGGTTCACTAATGTCCTTTAAAGGAAGGAAACTGCCATCCTTACCTGGTCAGGCCTATACGTGACTCCAGACCCACCGCAATGGGTTGACTCTCAACTGCCCTCTGGGCAATTAGGGATGGGCAATAAATGCCTCCTGGCCAGCAATGCCCTCATCCCATTAATAAATAATAAAAAACCTCAGGTGGGGGAAACAGGTTGAGATGGACAGTCGTTCATGTTAACCTCAGCCGGTGTGAGAATTGAACATGCACAGTTGGCGTCACTTTGTATCGCAAACTAGCCACCCAGCCAACTGAGCTAATAATTCCATATACTAGTTAAAATGCATTTCTTCTGTACAATTTTAAAGACAATATTTGTTATGAATTATTAATTGATTCATTAATTGGTAGTACGTTGCATTTCTCTAGGTTCTGGAGGTTTCTTTTTTAGTTTTTTTCAAATAAAGCATTGTTGAAAAGTTAAGTACAAAGGCAACTCTCAGTGATGCAATTCACTATTTAATAAAAAATAGAATAAGATTAATGTTCACACTGACATTCTACAGTAGTAGTTAATTCCAGATTTGCATCAACAGTTAAAACCTCATAACATGCTTAATTGATGTCAATCAACTCTAGGCCTAAAGCTACAGAAATTTTAAATTATACACTGCTTCAGGTACAAAGTGCAAAACATCTTTCGTGAAGTCAGCCATAGTTTGTGTTACGAAAAGGCCTCCTTGTCAGGGTCAAGGAGGGCTCTTCTTCAGGGCAATACTCCCCTGCTGATATTTAAATACTGCATGAGAAGTTGAATTGTATGATCTATTCACTCAATTTTGCTGAGGACAAGTTCTCAGAAAGTGATTCCAAGATTTTAACTCTTAAATTAGAAAGGAGGATTGGAATCAAGTATAAAAATCATAAATAGTCCAAACTACATTTATATTGCGCATTTCATATACTGAAACATGCCAAGGTGCTTCTCAGGGGTAAAGGCATAACCCAGAGCCAAACACATGACCAAAGGCTTGGTCAAAGCTGTAGGTCTTAACGAGTGTCTTAAGCAACAAATGGTGCAGTGCGAGAGAGAATTTGAGTGCTTAAGGGCCTGGGTAATTGAAGGTATGATCATCAATGGTGCAACAATTATAACTGGGAATAGACAAGAGGCCAGAGTTAGAGGAGTGCAGATATCTTGGTGCGTTGTGTGGCTGGAGGACATTGCAGAAATGAGGGGCAAGGCCTAGGAGAGATTTGTAAACAAGGATAAAAATTTTAAAAGTCAAGACAGGAGCCAATATTAGTTAATGAGCAAACAGGGGAGAGGGGAATGTGACTTGCTAAGAGGCAAGATACGGCCAGCACTTGTCAGAATGAACTCAAGTTTACAGAGGGTAGAATGTGGGAGACCAGTCTCAGTGGGTTTGACTAGTTGAGTCTAGCAGTTACAATGGCATGGATGAGGGTTTAAGTAGCAAATGAATCAAGATGGAGCAAATACAAAGGCTTAGTCTTCCCAATATTTAATTGGAGGACTGTTATTTAATTAATCCAGTTCTAGATATTGAATAAGCAATTTGATAATGTAGCAATAGTAGTGGGGAGGTTGAGAAGGGTTAAAGATAAGCTGATAATACCCAGCTCTTCATGTGAAATCTAACACGGCACCTTTAGACAATATTGCCAAGTAGCAGCACGTAGACAAGAAACAGCAGGGGCCAAGGATAGATCCTTGTGGGAGACCAGAGGAGACAGTGTGGAATCAGGAACAGAGGTTGTTGCAAGTGTTCCTATGGCTGTGAGAAGGTAGATAAGATTGGAATTACACAAGAACAGTACATACCAGCTGGACAACAGTGGATGGGTGGTAAACGCCTCAAAGGTCATGGACAGTTCGAGAAGGACAGAACAGACAGTTTGTCTGTCATAGTCACATAGGATGTTGTTTATGGTGGTGGAAATGTGTTTGCAAGTTCAGTTATGTAATTTAGGAAAGATGGGAATACATCTGGCAATAGTATATTATGGCATTGTGAAGAGGAATAGAAGGGTGGAGACTGAATGACAATTTGGGAGATTGATGGGGTCAAGGATTTTTTTTTGGAGGAGATAGGTGACGAAGCAGATTTAAAGACAGGGACAATGCCTGAAGGGAGAGAACCATTTAAAAGATCAGCTAACATGAGGGCCAGGAGGGAAAGTTGGGTGATCAGCAATTTAGTATAAATTATAAAAAGATTTTAAAACGAGAGAGAAGATGAAAGAAAGCATAGGGAATAAAAAGTTCTGAGCAGAAATGTTAAAAGTATTTCCAATTATTTTTGTAAGCTAGGCTTAATACTGTGGCATTAACATTACTTCTCATGTTCAAGTAATTTTGTTGCTGTCAGATTAGGGCTTGAATCAGCAGTTCTTGGAGAGACAAAAGGTTAAATGGTATGTATTAAAATGAATATGTTACTATGTATATATAAAACACACAATACATCATTGAATAATAGTTTGGAGTTCTATGGTATAATTGTTTTGTGTCTTAGTTAGGAAAATTAATTCCTAATATTAACAAGCTACATGTGTGATTAAGTGTATTAACTTAAATCAGCATTTAAAGTTACACAAAAAGCACATCTGTAAAACAAAAACATTGAAATCTGATAAAGGAAACACAATGAAAATTACCTTTATAGGGCTCTATTATGATACAAAATATTGGAAACAACAAGCTCAATCTTTAATATTGTGATCTTAATTTATTTATTACAAAATGCCTGCTGGAAACTTTTAAATTTAAACTTTCTACTTCCCTGTTGGTGCAAGCGTGGTGACTGTTCTGATTAGGTACTAGAAGATTTTCAACATTTATGACATGGTTAAGACAAAGAATCAATATCAAATTACCTGCAGAAGTTGCTCACTGCATGCTTCGCCTGATTCCTGGCATCATTTTGATCTTCTCCACCAGCTACATACAGAAATCCATCCATCACAGCTACACATTGATTGAAACTTTTATAAGGCATTTCAACAAGTTTGTTCCAAACATGTTCAGAATCTCTATACAGGATATCTCTGCTGAGTGATTTTTCTGATAGGTCTAGACGGCCACCCGCGATTGCTAGAACTCTGAGGCCACTACGAACTTTTGTTCTTCTGGACTGTAAGGTGTTCTGTTGATAGGGCAGCAGGTGGTAGTTCATGGCCTCTACCAGAAGTTTGTGACATCCTTGGTCTTCCATCATTCTTGGCACCGTCTGAACATAGTTCACCAGGTCTTGCGCTGAGATTGTACAAAACCGAATGGTGTTCAGTAAATCTGCTGCATACTTAACCCTGTTATTGTCAAAATCCAGCCATTTCATTGCAATCTGGAATGCTGTGATTTCTGAGGGCAATCGCAAGGTATCATCCAGCATAAATTCCATGATTTGTTCAAAGGTGAGTTTAAAAAACTGGTCCCTTTCTGAAAATTCGAGGAAATTGTCACTAATAAATTTATGTGCTGCTTCCTTAATATTTTTGAGTCCATAAGTTTCTGCAATGTTAACAATGTACATGCAATTCTCAACATTGATTTCCTGCATCAAAAAATCACTGCACATCTTTATGAGAGAGTGAATTTTGAGCAGGTTGGCTGTTGCTATTGTGCTACCAATAGTGTATAATGACAGTGTTATTTTTCCACAATAGGCATAAGTAATAACTGTGACAAGATCAATAGGAGAGATGTCATTGAGATCTATTCTTTGCTTTGATGGGTCTTTCGTCAGAATATTCCTGAAGTACTCACTGGAAGAAGCCATCACCAATTTGTGAACATCAAAACATTTGTTTTTTGTAGCAATGGTTAAATCACACAAAAATTTCTCTTGCCTCATTTTGCTGAGCGCTTCCAAAAGACTGGAACTGTATGAGCAGTTAGATATCTCCGTGGAAATGCAGCTAAAACCATTGTCTCCATCTAAGAGGCCATTCAGATGCATGATTGTACTCTCTTCCACAACAACAGTAGTCTCTTTGTTGTCCATTTTATTCTTTTTAACATTTTTCTTCTTTGGTGCCATGACTGTAATTATCACAGTCAGGATCTGAAACATATGTATTTATTTATAAACTGAGTAAATAACTCTATAATGCTCTGATTAAATGCACAAATATTTAATAATAAATTGTAGACGTAAACATGCATTACAATGATGGAACTTGGGTTATAATTCTCCTCCCTGCAGAAAAGATTATCTTGCAGTTTTTTTTGGTTTATTAATATATTAACTATGCCAAGCAATCTTAAAAATTTAAATATTGAAAATCAAAAACAAGTCAGTAAATGCTGGAATTTCACTGCAGGTCGAAGCTGTATCCTCTGGTAATTCCTGTTTTCACTATGATCTTAAGTAATATTGACATAAGAACAAACTTTTTTCCCACAAAGCTGGTTGTTACCATGCACTCATTTTTCAAGATCACAAACCTTAGTATCTACATTAATATTGAACAGTAGAAATAGAAATAACACTCATTTTCAAACATGTTGAAACAATTAGAGACACATAAATTATAGAAGTGCAAATTATAGTAATAACATGCTGAGCAATCTCAAATTGTATATTGCAGCATTCCAACTTTGGGATTCTTCAACATCAATTATAAATGTAGCTTTGAAACACACAGTAACCACTTACTAAAACAGATCTGGACTGGGCTTGATCCTGAAGATGTAAAATTGAGTGTGCAACCCTGGACCCAGTATGAACCCCCAACCCACAGCACCAAATGTTACACACTGAAGCTTTGTGAAAACTCCACAGCCAATTTGAATGCATACTGCATTTATTGCAATACAGTACATCCATATCGTGTAAACTGCAAAACTGTTTCCACAGCTCTACCCCAACAGTGAAGTCACTGTAATCGATTAACATATATTTTTCCACAGTTAAACGATCCCAGAATGTCAAAGTTCTGTGCAGGTGAAATACACCCATAAAACAAAACACTAGAAATCTGAAATAAGATTCACAGCTCAGGAAACACTGATGGAGACACAAAGGGTCTTTTTTTCCCTTAATGGATGTGGGCATCACTGACAAGGTCAACATTTGTTGACCATTCCTACTTGCCCATGAACAGATTTCAGAGTGCAGTTAAGTGTTAGTCGTATTGCTGTGGGTTTGGCGACACATGTTGACCCGACCAGGTGGGGATGGCATATTTTCCTCCCATAAAGTACATTAGTGAACCAGATGAGATTTTACAATTCATTGTTACCATTAGACTAGTTCTTTTTAATTCCAGATTTTACTAGATTCTGCCATGGTAGGATTTGAACATGTTCCCCAAGCATTAGTCTGTGTCTCTTGATTACTTGTCCAGTGACAACACTAGTATGCCATCACCTTCCCATGAAAGGTTACTATATTTCACAAAATGTCATCAATTTCAAATATTATTCCCTACTTTCCTTTCTCCACCCGTGCTTAAACCAATGAAGTGCTTTTGGAGTGTTGTTACTGTTGCCATATAGGAAATGTGGCAGATGATATGCACATTTCAAAGTCCCACAAACAATCATATGATAATGATTTGACCAGAAATAATAGTTTGGTTTTAAAAACGTTTAAAATAAAGTTTAGTAGTGAGTTTAAATATATAGGATTTAAGGTATGCTTGTTAGCAATCACTTGTGGAAAGGCTGGTAAAAGAATATGGTCGTAGTGAGATGAAGATTCAGCCCATGACATTCCTTCTCTCTTTACATCTGCTCATGTGCATCACTTAGCTCCAGGAATAGTAACACTGCAGCTTAAATCCCAGCAGCTCTCACAGGACTTTCCATATTAAGATTGTTTCGAATTAAGATGCTGGCATTCTAGAGTTGGCGGTGGGGTAAGGACTACATTTTCATTCATTATAATTAGTTTTCAGCATAAAACTGTTACTTAGCAGATTATCGACCTCAATAGGGATTCCATCAATGATCACATGCAGCAAAGTTAAAGATCTTAACTCATGCAAAAACACATTATTTAAACTGAAGTTATAAAAAGCTAACAAAAAGGTCACAAATATAATTGTCTAATACTTTCACAGCCGAAGTAAACTGACACACCTAATCAATAACTAGCATGAAATTCACCAATTCAAATATAACAGTTCATAGGAATATTTCGTGTAGACACGCGTCCCTCTTGAAATGTAAACTTTATACGCCTTCAAATTGCCGAACAGCTTTTTAGATGTTTAAATACAATTAAGTATTGCATTACAATCGATTTCACAGATTTTGAAAGACATGCCTCTAGTGACAAACTCTCTACCTTTCTGTAAATACCAGCAAATTTAGCACCGTGTTCTCTTCTCTCTATCACTGGACACTAATGGTGAAGCCAGCATCGGATAACTTTAAAAAAATGATTCTGCGCGTTGCGTCTCCGTTAAATGAGAAGCCGGGTGGGTGAGAACGCATTTCCGGGCGTGTATTTTGAGTTCATTTAGGGCAGTAGCTTCAGGTAAATCTATGTGGTTGCGAATGAGGAGCGAGGTATGGCAGAAGAAATAGTGCAAAAAGTATTGCAGCTGAAAGAACGTCTGCTTGGAGTCAGCGACTCAAATAAGGTGTGTTTGTGAGTTGTCAATACTCGTTCCAAGCTGGACTGATCTGATATTGCTGTTCAGAACATGTTACCTGCACAGACAAAGTGAAATTTGGAGATTCAGTGCTCACGAAGAAACTGAATTCTGAGGTGCATAGAGTTGCTAATTCAGTGCAACTTTACGGAGCAATATTATTTCGAGAGTTTCTAGAGTTGATAAAGTAGGCAACATCATCTGTTTCTTTCTCATTGAGATTTATTTGGATAATTTGTACCTGAACCAACATTCCCGAGTTTACTTATTCATGTGGAGACTGTACATGCCGATCTGCAAAACTAGCAAAAGCTAACTCAGTGACTGTGCCAGATTTTATTACAATCGCCCCAAAGTCAGCAAATTAAAGCAGCTCTGAATGGAGACCAATGGCCTATAAATGCATTGAAAGTGGGAATAGGAATGTAGTCTGAGCTGTTGGTATATCCAACAAATATCTTTCATTTTTGGTATTAAAACTGTGAGTGACTTTATTGCACATTGTTACTAAAGGTAATAAAATACCCCACCCATCCCCACTTCCCTCTAAACATTGTTTCCTGAAGAGGATATCAACTATTTTTGTAAATTGGGTGATGTGAAAAATTGAGATCTTCCATAGAAAGCTTCTTGGTTTCAGTTGTCTCAAAGGTGGTTTGGGCCCTGATTGGGGTTTCCAATCAACTTGTACAATAGCATAATGTTAGAGTATTAGATAATGAGAACACTGTGTTGTGATCTGAGCTAGAGTTTGATCTTTTTCATGTTAACTACTCCTCTGTAAAGTTTGGCCAAATACTTTGTGAAATGAAGATTATCATTTAACTGATAGTAGGAACTGCAGATGCTGGAGAATCTGAGATAACAAGGTGTAGAGCTGGATGAACACAGCA